AAAGATTCTTAAGTTTCAATAATCTTTTTATAATGTATAAACTTTAAAAGAGTAACTTATAAAGATGTGATTATGAAAGTAGTTTTGCTTTGAAGATTTAAGTTAGGGGAATTCTCAAAACCTAAACCTATCGTATAATATAATCCTACAAAGAGTATGTATTGGGAAAATCTACCACATTTTACTGCGACTAATTTTTAAAAATAGTGTTATCAGATCCAGATATTCTAACTTCTATAATTCTGGTTTAATCTTGACTTTTTAAACACTATATGAGCAGGATATTATGTTCTATGGATTGAGGAATCAGAAGTATAAAGAAATATGCTCATGTAATTTGCTGCATAGCTATAGGAAGAAGAAACCTTTAATGGTCTTCATCAAAAAGTTCTTTTTGGCTATGTAGTTTTCCTAGTTTTATGATCCTCTTCCTCTCTTATCCATGGTATCATCTCATCTGATGCACCTTGCTTCCATTACTTAGTCTATTTTGTGAAGTCTGGTCTAAGGAAGAATGGACATAAAGATTTCACATTTTCATTTTATACTGCTGGCACAAAGTTAACTTAAAACAACACCCATTTATTATTTTTCTTTATTTGCAACATTTACATTTCTTTAATCTGAGTTGGCCATTGGAACTCTTACTGGGAGACACTGGGAAGAACCCACTCCCAAACTCATTCAGGTTCATCCCAGTAGAGTTGTAGGGCTGAGGTCCTCATTTCCTTTCTGCTATTTGGTGCTTTTCTCCTTTTTTAAGAGAACATTTTTGTTCTTTGGCATATAGCCTCCTTCCTCCATCTTTAAAGCTAGCAATAACAAATTGATTCCTTCTTATGCTTCACATCTCTCTGACTTCCCCATCTTCCTTGTCTTACCTGCTTCTCTATTCTGTTGCATCTTTCTGACTCCAGTTGAAGAAACCTCCCCGCTTTTAAGAACTTCAAGTATTTAGATTGGTCCACTTAGATAACACAGGATAGTCTTGTACTGACTTTGATGTCCATAGCCTGAGTACAGCCTCAGTGTTCTTTCACAGCAGTACCTAGTTTAATGTTCTTGAGATATATTTAGGATTCTGCCTACCAAAACATGTTTGACTTTTTTAACTTCTAAGATTGAATATTATTCTATTTTAAAATAGTGTTTAAATATTTTAATGGGTTCTTATATATAGGTTAGCTAATGGTTGTTATTTTCCTTCTTTTTTTGGTTCACATTCTGGTTTATTATTTCTTTTATTTATCTTTTCTCTCAAATATGAAAAGTAATTTTGTTTACCTGAATTTTATTGTCAGCCTTTTGTAAGAGAGGATGAGATGAATGAGGAAGAACCATCTGTAATAGATTGATTTTAATTTGGTAGTGTCTTTTTCTTTTCTTTTTAATTTATAGATGACAGCAGAATGGATTACAATTCTTATTACACATATAGAGCACAATTTTTCATATCTCTGGTTGTATACATAGTATAGTCATACCAATTTGTGTCTTCAAACCTATACTTTGGATAATAATGATTATCATATTCCACCATCATTAATAACACCATGCCACCTCCCTATTCCTCCAACCTCTCTGCCCTATCTAGAGTTCATCTATTCCTCCTACATCTCCCCCCACCTCACTATGAATCAGTCTACTTATATCAAGGAAAACATTCGGCATTTGTTTTTTTGGGATTGGCTAACTTCACTAAGCATTATCTTCTCCAACGCCATCCATTTACCTGCAAATGCCATGATTTTATTCTCTTTTATTACTGAGTAATATTCCATTGTGTATATATGCCATATATTTTTTAATCCATTCATCTATTGAAGGGCATCTAGGTTGGTTCCACAGTTTAACTATTATGAATTGTGTTGCTGTAAACATTGATGTGTCTGTGTCCCTGTAGTATACAGTTTTTAAGTACTTTGGGTATAGAATGAGGAGAGGGACAGCTGGGTCAAATGGTGGTTCCATTCCCAATTTTCCAAGAAATCTCCATACTAGTTTCCATATTTGCTGCACCAATTTGCAGTCCCACCAGCAGTGTATGAATGTACCTTTTTCCCCACATCCTCGCCAACACTTATTGTTGTTTGTCTTCATAATAGTTGCCATTCTGACTGGAGTGAGATGGTATCTTTGAGTAGTTTTGATTTGCATTTCTCTAATTGCTAGTGATGATGAACATTTTTTCATGTATTTGTTGATTGATTGTACATCATCTTCTGAGAAGTGTCTCTTTAGGTCCTTGGCCCATTTATTGATTGGGTTATTTGTTTTTTTTTTTTTGGTGCTTACCTTTTTGAGTTCTTTATATACCCTAGTGATTAGTGCTTTATCTGATGTATGAGGGGTGAAGATTTGCTCCCTAGATGTAGGCTCTCTATTCATCTCGCAGATTGTTTCTTTTGCTGAGAAGAAAATTTTTAGTTTAAGTCCATCCCATTTACTGATTCTTGATTTTAATTCTTGTGCCATAGGAGTCTTATTAAGTAAGTTGGGGCCTAATCCCACATGATGGAGGTTAGGGCTTACTTTTTCTTCTATTAGACGCAGGGTCTGCTATTGTATTCCTAGGTTCTTGATCCATTTTTTAAAAAATTTTTATTGTTGGTTGTTCAAAACATTACATAGTTCTTGACATATTGAGTTGAGTTTTGTGCATTGTGAGAGATAGGGGTTTAATTTCATTTTGTTGCATATGGATTTCCAGTTTTCCCAGCACCATTTGTTGAAGATGCTATCTTTTCTCCAGTGCATGTTTTTGGCATCTTTGTCTAATATAAGATAATTGTAATTTTGTGGGTTAGAGTCTGTCTATGTCCTCAATTCTGTACTATTGGTCTACCAGTCTATTTTGGCGCCAGTATAATTTGGTACTGTCTTTACTCAGATACCTGAAAAGTATAGGAGTGATGTTCTTTCATTTTTTAACTGCCAAGCATTTTTTTATTATCTCGGTTTTTTGTCTAAGTAAGATGAAATATAATGAAGGTTTAAGTTATTCTTTTGTCATATTTTTAGCTCTTATTTTTTCCTTTGAAAGAAATACTATATTTATTTGAAAGGACCAGGTTGAAAATATAAGATCTTAGTGATGTACAAACGGTTTTACTCTATGATAAATGCAATTAACATGTTTTACTTTCTTACTTTATTAAATAGTTTAGAATGATTCACATTGGCAGTTTTGAGGTTATCATGGTCCATTCAACGGCATTAAGTTTGTATTTTAAAGTATTTGCTACAGAAGGCTTTAGGAATGCTTGTTTTCTGAGGTACAGTTTTGTCTATTCATTTCTACTTTTGAAGACATATGGAAACCCTTCCTGCCTGTGCATTCTGATAGACAGACAGCATGTTCTTCTAGGCCTCCCTTTATTTTTAAATTTTTTTGTCATATTATTTTTAGCTCAATTGAAGTAAGTATATTTTTAATCCTTAATTGAAATGGTTTTTTTCAGCTTTTTGCTAAACACATTAATAGTGGAAACACTCAAGTTTTAGAAGAAGAGACTTTATGTAATAGAAAAATTATGATTTTGTAATTGAATACAATTCTGTAGCTGGTTAAGGGCTGCAGAGTGGAAAAAGACAGATGAATTGTGTTTGAAAAAAGTTAACAGCAGCTGGGTGCCCTTTGGCAAGACATTTAACTTCTTTGAGTAGTTTTTTTCTTACACGTAAAATGAACATAATGATATTTGTTTTTTTATGGTCATTATTTGGTTTACAAAGCAGGTAAATAAACTACTTTGTAAAAGGCTTAGCACAGGGTAGGTGATGAATAAATGGAATTTGTTGTAATTATTATATCTTATTTGCCCCTAAAGATTGGTGGTTTTATACCTGTTTTACAATTTAAGAAACCAAGGCATTCTGCCTTTTAGTGATTTGTCTAGAGTCACTCACCTAATAAATTTAAACTGACAGCTGCATATATCTGTTTCCAAAATGAGCATTTAAAATTTTTTTATTCCATTTATTATTATGATGGATGTAAGAAATAACTCTTTATCCAATATCATGTCAGTGAAATTGTTTGCCCAGGTGATTTGGAATCTGATTTCCCCATATAGATGGCACAGGGTAGACATTCAGCTATCATATAAATTAATGAATTGTATTGAACTAATGAGATGTATACATGGGTGGATGGGTTTAGTCTTGTAGGAAGACAATTGTACATTAAAACCACATTGCTGGCTGTGTATTTCTTAAAATATAACAACAACAACAATAACAGAACAGTTAAATGTGATAATCAGGGTATTCATCTGCTATCACTGTAATGACCAGAAGATATTATACATTCATTTAGAAAAAGTGCTGGCATATTAGCATTCAATAAATTATTATTAGTAGTATGTTATTTGTAGTATGTAAATGATTTTATTTTCTTTATTTTTTGGTACTGGAGATTGAACCCAGAGGCACTTTACCACTGAGCTACATCCCCAGCCCTTTTTTTATTTTGTATTTTGAGACAAGGTCTCACTAAGTTTCTCAAGGCCTTGCTAAGTTTCTGAGGCTGGCTTTGAACTTGAGATCTTCCTGCCTCAGTCTCCCGAGTCACTTGGATATAGGTGTACACCACCATGTATGTAAATGACTTTAGAGTGAAAAACTTGAATGAAATTATAATTTACCCAGGTATTCTCTGTTATATATTATGTAATTTTTTAATAGACTTTCATTTTTAATTTCTATTTTTTCATTAAAATTTTTTATCCATATTTTTATTGGTACATTATAGTTGTACATTATAGTGGGATTTGTTGTTACATATTTGTGCATGCACAAAATATAACAATATAATTTGGCCAATAAGGTATTTCCCTCCTCTCTTTTTTCCCCCTGGTCTATTTCTTTTACTCCACTGATCTCCCTTTGATTTTCAATAGACTTTTTATTTCCTGTACTCCACTGATCGCCCTTTGATTTTTAATAGAGTTTTTATGATGCACATTACTTAGAAAAAATTTTTTTAATATATCTTTTAGGACTGAAAGAGTTGTCACCACTTCCTCTAAATCTCAAACGTTTGTACAAAGAGACACTAGAAATTGAACCCATTTTGATAATTATTTCCCCGGGTGCTGATCCTTCTCAGGAACTTCAGGAACTTGCTAATGCTGAAAGAAGTGGAGAGTGTTATCATCAGGTGAGTGTAAATTGCCCAGCTGTTTTTGCCCATGCCTTTGCTATTCCTGCCACATTATATCCTATTAGTGGGCATTTTGTTGTTGTAGTAGGAGAAATAATGCCCTGAAAGGTGTCCATGTCCTAATCCCTAGAATTTATTAATATGTTATCTTACATAGTAAAAAGAACTTTGCAGATATAATTATGTTAAGGATTTTGAGATGGGAAAATTATCCAAATTGGCCCAATATAATCACAAGCCTGTGTATAAGAGGGCGGCTGGAGGATCCTGAAATTATAAGATATGAAGATGGAAGTAGAGGTCAGAAAAGAGAGAAGCCATTATACTTCTGGCTTTGAAATGGAGAGATGTGCTATAAAGTAGCTGTAAGTAGCTCCCAGAAGCTGGTAAAGGCAAGGGAAGGATCTTCTCTTAGAACTTCCAGAAAGAAAATAATATTGAGACATTTTGATTTGAGATCAGTGAGACTTCTGACTTTCAGAAACTTAAGACATTAATTTGCATTAAGGCACAAAGTTTGTGGTTAAGTTTTGAGAATATATTTTAAAAGTTTACATGGATGCTTTTACAAAAAACATCACAGTAATATTTATTTGCAGTTTCTTGATCTAGAATTAAAGAAATACATAAATATTTTGAGTAAAATTTATCAAATATAATACTATTTTTTCTGATATTGGAGCTTCTTTTTTTCCAACTCAATTTGCGTGCAAGTTAGAAAATTAAATTTATTAGTTTACTCTCAGTTTTTGGAAAGTGGATCCACCTTTTTATTAGGAAATAATAATTTAAAAACCCCAATACTTGATAGCAAACAAAAATTGGAAAGGATTTCATAAGGAACAAGGAGAAGATACCAAAATAGCAGAGCAGGTAGGCTCAATTGTACTGATTTTTCACTAGGATTTTCTGTTCAATCCACTGGTATAGTAGATCAGTATATTCATTAAGACAGTATTGTGTTTTCAGTGAGGTTTATTCAAACAGGAAGTCCTTTTCTACAGGATGTTCCTGTTAGCAGTAACTTTGACTAAACTATGCATATAAATTTCTACTTATTTAATGTTTTTAGAGAAGATGATTAATCCTGAGTATTAGTTTGGATTTTCTTTAAAACTTAGTATTAAATCCAGTTAGGTTTAGAGATTATACTATTATTGAATCCTTTACAATGTTAAGTTACAACATGTTAGCAGTTCTGTGTGTTTATTTATTTATTTTCCATAGGTTGCCATGGGTCAAGGTCAAGCTGATTTAGCTATTCAAATGCTAAAAGAATGTGCACACAATGGAGACTGGCTCTGTTTGAAGAATTTACATCTGGTGGTATCTTGGCTTCCAGTTTTGGAAAAGGTAGATTCAGCTCAGTAGGGTACAAATAGTATCTACTATATTAATTCAGTAATCTCCAAGGAATGACATTATTCAAATATCAGGCATTATTTGTGATTTTTTAAAAAAGTATTTGATAATAAATAATTTTAAACAAATATTTTCTTTTTAAATAAGTACGTTTGTGCAAGACAAAATAGATCTAACTAGGAAGGCTATAAAAAAAACTGTCATTTTTAGGGGTATATCAGGAAAGTCAAGATATTGGTAATCAAGATTAATAGGGAAGCTTAGAAATTTTTTCCAGAAGGAAAATAAGAGACACTTTAAAGGATTATGGATGACCTATTTATACTATTACTTATTTTTATACTCATGTTCTGTTATCAGTATGGAAAGCAGTGTCAGAGAAACCACAGATTTTCCTAGATGCTAAGGAAGCTAGATTGTAAATTGAAGCAGTCAGCTCATTCAACCCAAATGGTTCAGGAGGAAAATAATTCTTAAGACACAACAAAACCCTGGATATGTTTTAAATGCAATTGTGGATTTTGATGCTCATATAAGAAACACTATGTGATCTTTGGTAGAGATGACTCTACAAATGTGTTACTTGAAGACAGAATGAAATTTAGCTACATGTAGATAAAGGATATTATATATTATAATTCTAGCAGCTCAACTACAGGTGTAGTGTGGGCCATATGCATTTGTTATTCAAGGAATGAAGAACCCTTTTGACCCTACTAGACGGGTCAAGTAGGGCAGCCTGGGGGAATGGAGTTACATGACTTGGAAGGGGATAGGTTATGGAAATATCCTGAGAACCATTGCAGAGTTTGGAGTTTTTAATCCTGGGACTTTGAGCCAGTGGAAGCTCTTAGAAGAAGGTTTAGTAATTAGTTAATTGAATTAATCTGGAAGAATTAGTTTCAAAACAGAACTAGAGAGAATAGAGTAAACTGAGGGCAGCCCTAACCCAGTTGTAAGATGTGGAAAATTTGTGTTTTCCTAATAAATGGGCAACAATAGCACCTTGCACAAAATAATCAGTAAATCTTTGACTGTGGTAATGACTGAGTATGTGAATTGATGGACCATGATGTTTCATTAATTGTGATCAAAAGAACTAAATTTTGGAACTGAGTTACATGTGAATATTCATATAATTCTATTAGTTTTTTGTAAAAATCACTAATGTGTAAAAATATGAATAATGTTTTCAAACATTAAAATACCAGCAAATACTTATTCTGCTTTATGTTTTAAATAGTTGATCAATAGTTTTTTAATAAAATATAATTAATGCCTTGGAAGCAAATCTTAATTAGAACTTTTAGAATCATAGGGTAGATGAATTTTTGGATATAAATTTATATATTTACTATGAACCCACACAAATGTATTGTTTCTCTTACAATTTCAATTTTTTTAAATGACCCAAGACAAATTTTTTTATAAATTAAGTTTTAAAATTATGAGGTTTAAATACATTTTACTATTTACAATTTTAAGCAAGCATGATGTTTTAAAGGCTACTCTTTTAACATTTTTTAGTTATCCTAACTACATTTTACATGATATTAATAATGAAATGTGAGTCACTGATTTATATTAAAACTTTTTTTTTAACAGTTCACTTTCTTTTAGAGCTGTTAGCTATTTTTTCATTTATTTAATCTACAGACACTGAGTACAGAAAAAAAGCCAGGAATTGTGCTATGTGCTGGTCAGAATTTTACCTGCCCTGTAGGATCATAGTTTAGAAGAAAGAGACCACATTTATCAGTAACTCTATTTAGTATGATGGATACTACAGAGGAGAATTTACAAAATGGCATGGGTGATTAGTTTTGCTTTAAATTGTGGCAGTGAAGAACCGAAGAAGATATTCCCCTAAAACATGCTATTTAAATTTTATTTTTACAGATGGTTAAGAGTTTGTGGGCTGGGGTTGTGGCTCAGTGGTTGAGTGCTTGCCTAGCATACATGAGGCACTAGGTTTCATTCTCAGCACCACATATAAATAAGTATAATAAAGGTCCATTGATAACTAAGAAAATATTTAAAAAATAATTTGTTAGGTTACAAAGAGAAAAATGGGCGCAGGGAATATGATGAGTAAAGACTTCTGAAAGGCATAAAAATCTAAGTAAATGACTAAAGCATACAATATGAGGGGCAGGGTGGATGAATTTGTATGCTAATTTTGTATTTGTTATAAGCCATAAGATACTAGTAAAAATTGTCAAAAAGGGAATTTATATATTGGTATCAATTGATAAAATTCTGTGGAAGCAAGAATTGAAATAATGAGAACCTAAAGGCCTGAAAATGGCTGTTGATTTAAGCATAGCAATTATAAAACTTATTTTGTATTTTGTATATATTAGACATTGCTTTCAGTGTTTTATGCAATCCTGTGTGGTAGGTACTTTTATTATCATTGCTCAGAAATGGTGTAAGTCACAGAGCCCAAGATCAGATAGCAAATAAGTGGTAAAGTTTGTATTGCAGTCCAGTGAAACTGGCTTCAGGTTCAAGTTCTTATTCATTACACTAAGGTAATAATAGAGAAGATAAAATTTTTAGGAAATATCAGAATGTTAAGAAATATGTCAGAATGTCACAGAAGAGTTTTAGTGAGAAAAACCAATTATTAATAATAGATTGATAAAAGGGATATGTATGTGTGCATATTTAAGTAGACTTTTTTATTGTTTTTATGTATAAGGAATTGAATACTCTTCAACCTAAAGATACCTTTCGTCTTTGGCTCACTGCAGAAGTTCATCCCAACTTTACTCCTATTTTACTACAGTCAAGTTTGAAGATAACATATGAGGTAAGAAGATTTAAAACTTCTTCTTATGATAACAGTAATCTATTTCTGCCTTCTAAAACTTTGGAAACAACCATCTATTAGATAAAAACACTTTTTTTTAACTTAGATGAGTTATAATACACATAGATGGTAGTATAGGATATAAAACTTTTCAAAATATTTTTCAAGTTTTATTTCACATTACTTGTGCTTTAGTTTAGATAAAAAACACAATGCAAAATTTACCATCTTAATGATTTTTAAGTGTATACTACAGTAGAGTTAACTACATGTATCTGTTGACAACAGACCTCTATAATTTTGATTCTGTAAAATTGATATCCTGCATCCATTTTTTAAAAATTTTCATTGGTATATTATAGTTATATATAATAGTTGGGTTCATCTTGACATTTTCATAAATGCTTATAACATAGTTTTCTCCATTCCAATCCCCAGTGCTCCTTCTTTCCCTCCTCTCTTCCCTTCCCTGATTTCCTTCTTCTACTCTATTGGAGACTCTGTATCTACTGAACAGAAATTCCCATTTCTTCCTGCCCCTGTCAACTACCATTCTTTCAATATGAGTTTGATTTCTTTAGATACCTCATTTAGTAGAAGTATGTTCACTTAGCATAAGATTCATTAAGATTCATCCTTAAGATTCATCCATGTCTTGGCATATGACAGTATTGATTTTTTAAAGACCAAATAATATTCCATTATATGTATATATCACACTTTATCCATTCATTCACCAATGAGCTTTTAGGTCTTCTGCTTCTTGGCTATTACGTATAATACAGTGGATAAGTTCAAAATTCTGTTTTCAATTATTTTGGATATATACCTAGAATTGGACTTTCTAGATCATATGCTATTTCCATTTTTAGCTTTTTGAGGAACCTCTATATTGTTCTTCATAGTGATTGAATCATTTTGTATTCCCAGTAACAGTTCACTATTTCTCTACATTGTTGCCAACACTGATTTTCTGGGGTTTTTTTGTAAATTATTATTTATTTTTTTTCTTTTTTCTCTTTTCTAAATTGTGATTATCCTTACTAGAGTTAAATGATACCTTCTGGTTTCGACTTGCATTTTCCTAGTGATTAGTGATGTTTTGCATCTTTTCATGTGCTCATTGGACATTTGTGTATTTTCCTTGGAGAAATGTTTGTTAATGGTGTTTTCTCTTTTCTAATTGGAGTATTTCTGTTTTTGTAAGGGTTCTCATATACATAGGAGAACACACACATGTATATAAAATATATATAATTTTTGTTGTTGGTTGGTATTGTTTTTTTTTTTTTTTTTTTTGTAGTATAGATTGAACCCAGGGGTGCTTTACCTCTGAGCTATATCCCTAGCTCTTTTTATTTTGAGGTAAGATCTCACTAAGTTGCTTAGGACCTTGCTAATTTGTTGAGGCTGGCCTTGAACTTGGTTTCCTCCTGCCTTAGATTGCTGAGTCACAGGTATTACAGGTGTGTGCCAAAGCACCTCTATACTCTCTACACATTCTTATCAAATAGATGGTTGGCAGATATTTTCTCCTATTCCCATATTGCCTTATTTTTTTGTTGGTTATTTTTGTTGGTGGTGGTTTTTGCTTCACATAAATTTTTAAATTTAATGCAGTTTCATTATCTGCTCTGCCTTTTTTTGTCCATGTTTTTTGGTGTCATAGCTAAGAAATCCTTGCCAAATCCAATGTCATGAAGCTTTTCTCCTATATTTTCTTCTAGGAATTATAATTTTGGGTCTTATGTTTAGGTATTCAATCCATTTGGACTTAATTTTTGCATGTGATATAAAAGTAAGGACTAAACTTCACTATTTCCTAAGGTATAGCTCACTGAGAGTTTCAAAATTATTATGTGTATGTATGTCTATAATATCCTCAAGACACACTTATAATCTTATTTTTTTTTTTGGTACTGGGGATTGAACTCAGGGGCACTCAACCACTGAGCCACATCCCTATACCTATTTTGTATGTTATTTAGAGACAGGGTCTCACTGAGTTGCTTAGTGCTTCACTTTTTAAAAATTTTTAATTTATTTATTATTCTAATTTGTTATATATGATAGCAGAATGCATTACACTTCTTATTACATATATAGAGCACAATTTTTCATATCTCTGGTTGTATACAAAGTATAGTCAAACCATTCGTGTTTTCATATGCGTACTTAGGTATCACTCCACTGTGTTTTCTACCTCCATGCCCCCTCCCTTCTCTCTCACCCCTTTGCCCTGTGTAGAGTTTGTCTGATCCTCCCATGCTCCCCCTGACAACCCCATTATGAATCAGCATCCTTATATCAGAGAAAACATTTGGCATTTGGTGTTTTGGGATTGGCTAACTTCTCTTAGCATTAATTTCTCTAACTCCATCAATTTATCTGCAAATGCCATGATTTTATTTTCTTTTATTGCCGAATAATATTCCATTGTGTATATATACCACATTTTCTGTATCCATTCATCTACTGAGGGCATCTAGGTTGGTTCCACAGTTTAGCTATTGTGAATTGTGCTGCTGTAAACATTGATATGGCTGTGTCCTTGTAGTATACTGTATTTAAGTCCTTTGGGTATGGACTGAGGAGAGGGACAGCTGGGTCAAATGGTTGTTCCATTCCCAGATTTCCAAGGAATCTCCATACTGCTTTCCATATTGGCTGCACCAATTTGCAGTCCCACCGGCAATGTATAAGTGTGCCTTTTCCCCACATCCTCGACAACACTTATTGTTGTTTATCTTCATAATGGCTGCCATTCTGACTGGAGTGAAATGAAATCTTAAGAGTAGTTTTTTTTTTTTTTTTGCATTTCTCTAATTACTAGAGATGTTGAACATTTTTTCATGTGTTTGTTGATTGATTGTTTATCATCTTCGGAGAAGTGTAGTGCCTCACTTTTACTGAGGCTGGCTTTGAACTTGCAATGCTCCTGTCTCAGTCTCCTGAGCTGCTGGAATTACAGGCATGCGCCACTGCACCCGGCCAATCTTTAAAACATATTAAATGTCCATTTTTTTCTTCTGTTTCAATTAGTTGCCAGAGTTGTTCAAAGTTTTTTTCCAAATTACTAATGTCATGCTTATATTCATATTATTTTTAATTTTTTCTATTCACTGAATTTCCATCTTTAATTCTGTATTTCATCCTCTTTATGTTTTCTTTACTTTTCTTTTTTTTCTGATTTTTTAAGTTGAATGCTTAATAGGTCAAAATGCTTAATGCTTCATATTTACTTGTACTAATATTGAAATTAAATTAAGTCTGTGAATTTGTAGGTGAGTATAACTTTTTTCCTTATCTTGTATTTTGGCATCCTAGTGGTTTTGTTATTTTTGCAATATTCTATTATGATTTTCTAATCTGTTGTACATGGTTTATTAATTTGTATAATGTATATTGTAGCACCTTTGGAAGAAAACTCTAAGTTGTTTAGTTTCCTATTAATATCATACATTATTTTATTTATCTACCTATTTATTTATTTATTTATTTTTTAGTTGTAGATGGACACAGTATCTTTATTTTATTTTATTTTTTAATGTGGTGCTGAGGATCAAACCCAGGGTCTCGAATGTGCTAGGCGAATGCTCTACTGCTAAGCCCCAGCCCCAGCCCAATATCATGCATTATTAAATAGTACTCTTTTTTCTAAGGATTTGAATACTTTATTTTTATCATTTTGATATAATGTATACAGATATATAACATACAGTCCTAATGCTTGTAGATGAGCATTTTTTGACTGAGTACTAGTCCAATATACAATGTCAATTCCTTTTTTTGTATTTGTACTCAGTTGCTTAGCAATGTCTGGTAATACCCACTTTACCTTTGGTGGACTAATGCTCAAAACAAATTAGTTTACATTATGTGTAAATGGTACATTGTAGTCCTCATGGAAATTCAAATAACAATTAGTGAGGGATAACTGGCATATTAATCCCAAATATCTGCCCTAAACCAATGAGTATCCCAGTATTATAAATAATGATTTTATTTCAATAACAACAAAACAACTTAATGATCATGTAAAAATTGGCTGTTTTGAAAACTATTGATTGTATTCTGGATTTATAATTAAAATGAACTGTTAGATATATAAGGTGTTCAAAACTCATTTTATATTTGTACATTTTGAAGTAACAAATCAAACTTGGTAAGTGGTGAAAATCTATTCACTAAAATGTGTTCTTAAATATGATAAATATAGAGTTATTTGTAATATTTTAAATAATAGGATGTATGTTAATTTCTTTAGTCACCTCCAGGTTTGAAGAAGAATTTAATGCGTACTTATGATTCTTGGACTCCTGAACAAATTAGTAAAAAAGATAATATATATCGAGCTCATGCTCTCTTTAGTTTTGCATGGTTTCATGCTGCATGTCAAGAAAGAAGAAATTATATTCCACAGGTAATTAAGAATGTCTTAAATAGTCAAAACTTTGCATTTTATTAGAATATTCTTATAGTTTAATATAAATAGCTAGGATCATATCATGATTTGGCTTGTGATTCATACATTTATATCTCCAATTCAATCTTTTCAAGTTTCAGACTATATTCAGTTATCTACTTCACATCTTATATTTACTCAGTAAGTATTAGATATCATTTTTATGATTAAGTACTCACAAACATCTCAAACTTCAAAAACTGGTTTTCCTATGTCTGTTTTTCCTTTAGTATATTCTTCTTGATAAAAGGCATTGATCCCCATCTTCCTCAAGATAGAATTATAGGACTTGTTTTTGGTGTTTTTATCTCTTAATTTCCCTACCAGTAGATGATCAAGTACTATTATGATTTCAAAGTACAACTCTACTCCGTGTACAAGTCGTCACTATTTTTTCTAAGCTTCATCTCACTTACCTGTATTTCTGCTCTTGCCTTACTTATAAGTATTGTTCCTTTTGTTGTTGTTGTCATTTGTTTGGGTTTTTTAATTTTGTTTTTACATTCACCAACTAGAATATTTTCCTCATATGTGAGTTTGATTATTCTTTTACTATGCTTAAAACTCATCTGATGGCTTTCTGTTGTACTTGTGGAAACATCTTGCAGATTTATTATTATAGTCCAGAAGGAAAAATCCACTGTTCTCTTCAACCTCCTCTCTTGCCCCACATCTTACTTGTACTCTACTCTTCTGTCACACTGAACTTCTTTAAGGTTTTGAATTTATCAAGCTCTTTCTCATTAAATAAATTGCGCTTAAATAAATCAACCAATAAATTACACTTTTCCATTGCCATGGCACTCATAGCTGGTACTAATGCTCCATTCTTGCTAACTGACTATCTGTGCCATGAACTCTTCTATATTTAATTTTTTTCCATTCTGTTTATTTAATTTTGCCCAATTCTGCTGGGAAGCTATCTCCCACCTGCTCCCTCATCTTTCCACCCTTTTAGCCTCTCGATTTCAGTTACATGTCAAAACAAGAGCATAGAATCTGTAGTTAGACAGATTTGGGTTTGAGTCTTGACTCAAGAACCTTGCTTTGTGATCATGAATAAACTAATTTAACCCCAATAAACACCACTACCCCATTCACTTTGTGTAATTATAGAATGAGAACGATGATTATGTATGTCTTTGTTGTAGGGATTAAATAAAATAATGTATATTTGGAGGTGCTTAACATGGTGATTTGCATATAGCCTGGGAAATATTTTGTCAAACAGATGGAATAGTAAATAATTATAGTATTGCATTGCATCATATAATTTACATATTATGATTATGGAAAGCACATACTTATTATTTTAAGTTTACAAAGAGGAAATGCATGTCAATAATAATTAACTTCTCAAGGCATCATACCTAAAAAGCTGTAGAGTTCTGAAAAGGGTTGGAATATCTTCCTGTAAATCCTTTGCTATTAACTTCTCTGACTTCAGTCCTTGGCCTTCTGTGGCAAATAATCTTGACTGAGAGATGAAGAATAGTGATAGTATCTTAATTTTATTGATAAGTTATATTTAAAGTGAAGTTAAATTTTATTGTGTGTTATCATACATGTACACAGTGTAAATTTGAAAGCTAAACAAAGTTTTTTTAATGGGAGTTAGTCTCTTCCCTTCATATACTCCTGCCCCTGAGTTTCCATTCCATGGGTATCACTGTAAACTGTTTTTTGGGTGTTCTTTAGTGATATTCGATATAAAAAATTTTATGGATTTATATATATATATATATACACTAATGTTCTTTGTAACTCAAATGGTAGCATATTACAAATATGTCTGTGTCTTACTTTTTTAAATACTATATTTTAGAAATTATCCATGTATATAGTTATGCCAAATTTTACATTTATATTGCATTAGACTGATGTGCATTTTTTTAACTCATATTGAAAGGACATTTTTTTAAATCTGTGCTAATGTGAAAAAATGTTACAATTTTTATCCCTATATTTCATTTAACATTTAATAGTGGCTTGTTCCTAAATGTGGAATGTTTGAGTTAATAGATATCTTTTTCCCCCCAAATTTATAAGTTTTACCAAGTTGTTTTTCATAGAGGACATAGTAGTTCACTTTTCCATAAAAAAGCTTGAAAATATATATTTTTTCACATTGGAAGTCTTGTCTCATAAAAATCATAGTTGGAGGTGAAAGCGGACAAGATGTAAATTACTACTTAGTTGCTAGGTACCACATCATAAGAATATGTTTTAAGTAATATTGATGGCTGCAGTCTTTTGAGTTTGGGTTTCTTAAAAATATTAATGTTTAATATATTTTAACACTTTCAAAGGTTGTTTCTTTTTACAAATAAGGTCTAATAGAATGACATAAATAATCTTACTAAGAATTTGTTTTGAGTTGGTAGAAAAGTTTAGTTAAAATATTATAGGACATAAAGAATGAAATAATGTCATTTCCAGGAAAATGGATAAAACTGGAGATGGAGAGCATCATGTTAAGTGAAATAAGTCAGATACAGAAAGTCAAGCGTCATAGTTTTTTTTTTTTTTTTAATATGTAGAAGCTAGAGGGAAAGAAGGAACAAAAGGGATCTCATGAAAATAGAAAGGAGACCAGATGGGTGGAAGAAAGGGAAGGAGCAGGGATGAGGAAAGGTCAAGGAGAGGTACTAGGGAATGAAATTTTCTAAAGTATGTTATGTGTATATACAAATATGCCAGTTGGATGTCTCAAATGATTGAAAATCCATATATTTTGGTAAATACACCTTTTCTAGATCTTGTAGCAGGAACCCAGATTTTTTTTTTCAGATTTTATTTCTTTTGTTCATTGCTTTATTGTCATGACTTAAATGGTGCCTGGTATGGAGCGTGCACTCCAAAAGTTTTTTTTTTTTTTTTTAATGAGTTTTGTTTAAAAGATTTGTTAAAATTTTCTTTATTTATCTCAGGATAATTTCTTCCCCAACATCATATTCTTTCAGTGTTCCACATATTAGTGAATATCCACCTTCCATTTGAAAACATAAGCATAGAAATCATTCTTAATTGCTTAATTCTTTTTGGTATCCTCACTCTCCATTAATATCTAATACAAAAATTCAGTTAATTTTTTTCCTAACAACTTTTAAAATCTGTCTACTTTTGTTTTTTACCTATTCTATCCCCTTCATTGTCAGTAGAACTTTTCTCACCTCTTAGATTGGATCAGATCTCTTTCTTATATATACGAAGTAGGTTTCTTTACATCAAATTTATTATACTTTGTAATCATACATGCATTTGAATGATTGTCTCTATCTCACTCCTCCCTACATTTGACTGAAAGCTACATGAGAGTAGAGATTACCTATTTTCGGGTTTACTTAATATTCCCAGAGTCTCACCTATAATACACATTTAAGAAATGTTTGTTGAATGATGAATATATGTAATTTGTATTAATATTCCTAAGTACTATTCAAGTATTAAGCATTTTAGTTTGAAATTACCTGATTGCATAATTAGTTATTTCCCATTAGAAATCGGAAATCGTGTTTTATATTATTTTATATACAATGTTGAGCTCTATGAACATTCTTCTATGCTGCTTTGTTGATGAAGTACCAATGAATGTAGAGAAATAATATATGTTTTGGGGACTCTTGAATATTTGTTTTCATGTTTGTGGGGAAAATCTGTACTCCTGAACCTGATTATAGAAAATATGTCACTGTATACATAGTATATAGCATAAAAATTTATGCCAGTTTGTTCTATGACTGTATATACTTAAATGATAAAAACAAATTATATTAATATAATATGATAAATATATACAATAAATTATTGTATTATTATAGTACTTTTTATGCTTTAGAGGTCTGTAGATTTTTTAATTCATGTTATTTTAGATATATTGTATATTGGTTTTATTATAAATTCTCAGAATTTGTATTTTTTTAGTATATACTGAACACATTTTAAATTATAAGAGCACATATGTGTCCATACATTGCCTTTGAACACTGCTTAATTCTTTACTATTTTTTAAATTTGTTTTGGTAGGGTTGGACCAAGTTTTATGAGTTTTCTTTATCAGATCTTCGGGCTGGGTACAACATTATTGACAGACTCTTTAATGGTAAGTTCTAAAAAAACTTTTATGTTTCTGTATATGTTATGATAAATTTAATTTGTAATGTTATTAATATTTTCCAGAACTCGCTTAACGTCATGTCACAAAATTTGATTGTCTTTTTTTTTTTTTTTTTGAGTATTTTGTATCCTGACTGCCATGTCTGTGTTATCTGGATTCTGATATATTCTGTTCTTGTCATTGGTTTTGATATAAACCATTTGATTTCTGATTTATCTGTATTTCTCAGGAAGTAGAAAACTAGAAAGATCTTGTCTTCACTTTTTCGCATATAAAAACTTTAGGCTTCAACTGAGTTATTCAGATCTCTTTCCAGGGAACTTTTAAAATTCGAATGTATTAATCTAAGGCTACTAGTACCAAGGATTTGTAGAGCCTTGGTTAAATTATTAAGTGGGATTGAGGATACAAATAACATACTGAAATAGTGCAGCAAAAAAGATTATATCACTCAATTCCGTAAGGTCATTTAGCTCTTTACCTCCTAAGATAGGAACAGTGAAATCCCTAAATTTTTTTTGTGTAGGGCTAAGGCAAGTGGACACTAGAGGTTAGACCATCGATGATTTAGAAAACAGAGTAGGTCAATACAATCTTAAACATAGGAATGTCATAAGTAGAATTCTTAATTTCGGTCTCCCTTCACTTTTCCAAACCCTGCCACCTAGACAAGCTACTCTTCCTAGTTTGCCTTATTTTAGTAGATGGCATCCTTCATGTACTTTTTCAAGGTTAAGGCCTATGAATCACCCCAGATTCTTTTTTTTCCCCTCACCCTCAAGCATCCAGTGCTTTGGCAATTTCTGTCTCTTCCATTTCCAGATCATATTATGATTCTGTTGAATTCTTCTTAATTTCATTAAAGCTTTAATTTTCTAAGTTGTAATTTCTTCTTACTTCTACTTTAGCATGCTTTCAAACATTCTCTATAAACTAACTCTAGTTTTAAAAAAGTAAGTAAAACCATGTATTTTCTCTTTAAAGCATATAGCCACACTTGTTGACCTTGTGTACTTCAAATAATCAGTCTTATTTCTATTTATAGGTGTTAGTAGATACTCTTTCTATTACAGCATCTCAAGTTTTTTTTAATGTTTTGCCTCTTCCTGTTGTCTATATCTTAGAAGTTTCCATTTCAGAAAACTTTTTGTTTTTCTTCCCCACATTTTTTTCTTATTAGTGCATTATAGTTGTACATACTAAAGGGATTTGTTGTTACAAGTTCATACATGCACACAATATAACAATATAATTTGACCAATATCACTCCTCAGCACTCCCCCCTCCATCTCCCACCCCTTTCCTCTATTGATCTCTCTTTAATTTTCATGAGATTCACTCTAATATTCCCATCAGAAAATTTTCTTAGCACTGAATCCAAAGTAATTTTTTAAATAATTCTGTCTTTGTTTTGTTTTAATACATTAGTTCTATTTAATATTTTTTTTTTGTTTCTTTACTCATTTGTTTTTTGTTTCTGCCTTTCCACTAGAACATAATCTACAGTAAATTAAGGTCTTTGTCTTGTTTACATCTGTAACAGTACCTAGTCCATCAAAAACATAAGAAATTTTTCTGTTATACATATTTGGCAAAAGGATAGTGATAGATATCTAGGATGTGGCCAAGTCCCATTTTAAATGTTACATTTTAGGTTTAAAAAAAACTTATTAATGAAGCACAATATGCCAAAAATTACTTATAACATTTAGCTCAGTGAAATTTTCAAAAATGGAACATACCACTGTAGCCAGCATCTTAATCAAGAAACAGAACATTACCAATAATTACCCCAGTTTACATTCCATGCAATGCTGCTTTCCAGTCACTACCCTTCCCTATATTCCCCATCCCAGCTCTTGAGTTGATGTCAGATACCTAATTCTATATATTAGTTTTGCTTATTTTTGTAAAACTGGGATTATATAGCATGTGTCCTTTAGTGATTAGGTTCTTTCATTTAAAATTATATGTGATAGATTGTGGTTGCATGTATTTGTAGTCCATGTATTGTCAAGGCTATTTAGCACGCTGTTCGATTATAGGTACTTCTGTTGAGGGACATTTGGGTAGTTTTCAGTTTGAGAAGATTAATACTATGCTAGCATTAGATGAATATATGGATATATTTTGTGGGGTATTTATGTATTAAATAAATAAAGTCAGTATACTGTAGAGATACCTGCCATGTTGATTATGGCACAGTTCTTAATTAGCCAAGTTATGGAATCAGCCTAAGTGCCCATCAATGGATAACTGGATATATACATATATGTAATATATACAAATGGATATATACACATATGTATATACACATAAATATATACCAGAGTATTATTGGATCATAAAGAAGAATGAAATCCTGTCATTTTCAGGAGAATGAATGGAACTGGAGATCATAATGTTAAGTAAAATAAGCCAGACACAGAAAGACAGTATTGTGTAATTTCTCTCATGTGGAATCTAGCAGAGGGGAAAAGACTTGAAAGTAGAAGGGCAATTATTAGAAGACAAGAAGGGCATCAAGGGGAGGGGAAGGGCAAAGAAGGTAATGGGGGAGCAATATGATGAGTATGTTATTTACATGTATGAAAATGCCACAGTGAAACCCATTATTCCATGCATTTAGAATGCATTAATAAAAAATATTTAATTTCATGTTAAAAATAGAACCATAAAATTTATGGTTCCAAAATTTCTTAGTATCAAGAGATTCTATGTAAAATTCAATTCAGTAGAAAAAATTTAGTAGGCCAATTGATTAGAGATTGATATAGAGAATAATAGCCATGTGACCTAGAGCACCTTTCTTAACCTTTTAAACCTCAATTTCCAGATTTATAAATAGGAATATAGGCTATCTCTTGTTTTGCTTAATTGTTGAGAGGTTTAAATGAGAAAAGTCACCTGAATCATTTAATATTTAGTATATTTAATATATTGTAAACAGTTGTTAGCCTTTTTTGTTCTTAAGATTTTCTTATAAAACTATGAGAAAATATATCACACAATGGTCACTTCAGTTTTTTAAATTGAAAAGAACATTAATCAGTTACTGATGTATCATTTAGTGAATATCAAGGTAGAATGAGAAAACTGATAAGTCTTAGGAAAGTCCCTTGTTATTTAGCCATTGTTCATAGTAAGATATATGTTGAAAACAAATTTAATTATTCGTCTATCATATAGATGTCCTTATCCTCTAGGAGGCCATAACTCACTTGGGTTCCAAGGTGTTTAGTAATACTACTTAACTAACAAGTTTTATGCTTCTCTGAATTTTATGGTGATGAGAACCAAGCTAGTAATACTAACAAAAAATTTAGCTAGTTTCAATTATAGCTGTGTGTTTCCTGTATTTACTAGAGATTGGAAACTTAATTCTTGTACTTTAATATTACCACTGAATTGTGGTTATGAAGATACTTATTGAAATAATACAGAGAAAATTTCCATGGTGTTTTTATACATTTTTCTTTTAGTAAAATAGGAAATGGATAGTTAACTTTGGAAATCATGACATATAGAAGATTGTTATATGAAGATGTTTTGTAGTGTTTTTGTATTAATCGGATTATTTTGTGAACTGAATGTTTCATTAAGTGCTATGTAAAATTGTTTTGGACAGGGTCTTTTAAGGAGTTTCCAATTTAAGTTGCCAGTATTGTATGACAGAAAAAAAAGGATGGCTCAGGATTCAGAATGTCTCATTTCCAATCTAGATCTGCATGGCTGTGTGATTTTTCTCCCTTTGGTGACTCAAATTTCCCTCAATTTGTCCATCTGTATAATTGAATGATATTAATACTTCCATGTTTTTTATTAACAATGAGTTAATAAGTGTAAAATATTTGAAAAATTTTATTTGATTAAGTAATCTGAATAAATTTTAAATACTATTAATATTGACCATTTAAATAAATGACTTAGTAGTTATTGTTAAACATATATATCCATATTCTATAAATATAACCAGGGCCAGTAATTTAGTTAACATGTTAAAATGTAATTTTGTTTTAATTTATAGGTACCAAAGATGTACAATGGGAATATGTACATGGTTTATTTGAAAATGCTATTTACGGAGGGCGTATAGATAACTATTTTGACCTCAGAGTTCTTCAATCATACCTGAAACAATTTTTTAATTCTTCAGTAATTGATGTATTAAACCAAAGAAATAAGAAAAACATTTTTCCATATTCCATATCTCTACCCAAATCCTGCAGTATTTTGGTAAGTAAAATGAATCATTTTCAGTCTTTTACTTGTACCAGATAGATCCTTGAATCATTTTTAAAAAAAATTTATTGGTTCTTCTTAGTTGTACATGACAATAGAATTCATCCTGACATAAAAGCATGAAATAGAATTTGTTGTAATTCAGTCCCCATACTTCCCCTTTCCCTCCCCTCCTCCCACTCCTGTTTCCTTCTCTCTACTCTAGCGATCTTTCTGCTGTTCGCTTAGTATTTTTTTTTTTTTTTAAATTAGTGCCTTGTGAATGTACATAATGGTGAGATTCACTGTGGTATATACACAGTAATGTTAGCTCAGATTCATTCCACTGTCTTTCCCCATCCCATCCCTCCTTCTTTCCCTTCATTTCCCTTTGTCTCCTTCAGTGATCTTTCTTCTATTCTTTTTTAAAATAATTTCTTACATTGTTAAACATGTCATTTCTTTTCAAAAGCACAAATAATTACTCATAATACAGATTATTTAATTTGTCACATGGCCTGATTCTCTAAACTCTAGTGAAGTGTCTTATAAACTTTTGAGTATTTACTGAAGATAATTTTAACATAGTGACAGTAGGGCATTGTATAGGCAAATCATAAAGAGACTAGGCAGCCCAGGAAAACTAAAACAATGTAGGATTGCTGTGAAGAGCTGGAAAATGGGGTATGCTACTTCCTAGTAGATGTGAATGTACTCTGATGTAGTGAAGAATGGAAAGCGAAATAGTGTATAGCAGATATCTGCCTTTAGTTTCTGCCATGTAAACTTAATGCAAGTCTCAGTATATAAAAGCCATTCACTTTATCTTTTACAGCAACATTTTTGTTTGTGTGTATTTATTTTAGCAACCTATATCTTTTGCCTTGAGTCATCACATGAAAGCCTCTTAGAATGCACTCATCTTTTACAGAAAATTATATTTAACATAGCCCAAAGATTTTAATTCTAGATTATTTTGCCACAAACCTATATTGGTATACATGCCCTAATATTTTTATAAGCATTATTGTAACATTTCTTCATATATTTTAAAGAGATATATTTGATTATGTAGTTATGCTTCATGTTATTTCTCATCCAAATATATATATATACTGTGGGGTTGGGAGGGTTCCATTTATTGAATTCAGGTTCACTCAACCACTGAGCCTTTAAGAAAATTCTTTCAATAACATAATTATCAAAAAACATATCTAAAAACTGAAATTAAATATAATATGCTTATTAAATATTTTAACTATTATTATGTTATTGACTACCCCAGGTGTTTGGTTTTTAAGTTATTTTTAATTTGTTTATTCATTCAATAATATGCATTGAAGTTCTGTTCAATGATAGCCTTGTTCCATATATTGTGCATACAGCATTGAATATATGATGTTTACTTTATGGTAGAGAACATTAGAGTGAATGACCAGTTTATTGCATAGGTATTTAGTCTATATTTTTTTCAGATAGTGTACTTTAACATCTTCCACCTGTATTTCAAGCCTGTGTGGAAAAGTAAAATTTATGCAAAATATGCACATCACCTACACATATTGCAGATGCAATGCAATGAATTTTTATACATCAAATATAAGTATAACTACCACAGAATCAAGAAATAGAACATTAACAGTTCTCCAGAGCCCTCCTCATCTTTTCTTATAGTTACTACCTTTCCTACAAAGGATACATTGTATTAACTTTTGTCAGCCTAAGTTAGTTTTTGCTTATTTTATGCTGTTTATATAAATATTATAGTGAATATTATTTTGTGTCCAAGTGAGGATACATTAGTCTGGTCTTGTGACTGCTAGTTATTTAGTCAACTTGTCAATATATACTTGTATATAGACAGAAGACAGTCTAGATGAGAAATATTTACAGCTATTTGGAAATAAACCAACTCTACAAAGAGCAATAGTTTTTAAATTTATAGGATGATTTATGAGAATTACAATTTAGTTTTTTTATCTGAATTAGATAGGAGGATACCAAAAGTCTGCTGGGATGATGAACACACATACACATAAATAAATATTCATGTACTTTGTGATTGAACACCATGAAGAAGTTTACAAATGCTGAGTTAAATTAGAGGAATTTCCAAGTACAGCATGTATGTCCAAAATATGACATATTTATAGGTTGTAAGCTCCTTGGAATCCAGGGATGCCAAGGATGAAAAAGTATGATGAGAAGTCAGAGGATGTGTCTCCCTCCTTCTACTCAGCAAATACAGTTTAGATGCATATACAGTACCTACCTTGAAACAGCTTGCCTATTTATGAAAACAAAACAATCCCTATCTTTCAACCAAAATGAATTATTCCTCTTGGTCTGTATTTGATCTTTATGTAAAGTCATAAGTGGATACACATTCAGATGAATATTTGATAAAAAAGCTTATGAAATACTTAAAGTAAATCCTAGGATGAAATAGTAGGGTTTAAATGCATTTCATCATACTTCATCAGCAAACTGAAGACTAACTATGGAATTGCTGTATGATAAAGTGATTTACAAAGCAGGACTAGTGTAACAGTGTGTCTCATAGGTTTATAGCTCTTTAAAAAAATTTTTTTAATATTCTAACTTAAGAAGACCTGAACTCTTCAGATTGGTCTTTGATAGGTTATGGGAAAAATATTACACTGATTTTCTAAAAACATTTAACATAATTGGGTGTTATGGCACATGCTTGTAATCCTAGCTACTCAGGAGGGCCACAAGTTTGAAGCCAGCTTGGACAACCTGGTGAGACCCTGCCTCAAAATAAACTTTAAAAAAGGATTAGGGGTGTAGCTTTGTGATAGAGTGCTTGCCTAGCATGAATGAGGTCTTGGGTTAAATGCCTAGTGCCATTAAAAACAACAGTTCATCTATTCCTCCCATGCTCCCTCTCCCCATCCCTCTATGAATTAGCCTCCTTATATCAAAGAAATCATTTGGCATTTGGTTTTTTGGGATTGGCTAACTTCACTTAGCATTATTTTCTCTAACTCCATCTATTTACCTGCAATTGCCGTGATTTTATTCTCCTTTATTGCTGAGTAATATTCCATTGTGTATATATACCACATTTTTTAATCCATTCATCTACTGAAGGGCTTCTAGGTTGATTCCAAAGTTTAACTATTGTGAATTGTGCTGCTATAAACATTGATGTGGCTGTGTCCCTGTAGTACGCTGTTTTTAAATACTTTGGGTATAGACCGAGGAGAGGGACAGCCAGGTCAAATGGTGGTTCCATTCCCAATTTTCCAAGAAATCTCCATACTGCTTTCCATATTGGCTGCTCCAATTTGCAGTCCCACCAGCAATGTATGAATGTACCTTTTTCCCCATGTCCTCGCCAACACTTATTGTTATTTGTTTTTATAATAGCTGCCATTCTGACTGGAGTAAGATGAAATCTTAGAGTGGTTTTGATTTGCATTTCTCTAATTGCTAGTGATGATGAACATTTTTTCATATATTTGTTGATTGATTGTACATCATCTTCTGAGAAGTGTCTGTTCAGTTCCTTGGCCCATTAATTGATTGGGTTATTTGGTGTTTTTTTTGGTGTTTAGCTTTTTGAGTTCTTTATATACCCTAGAGTTTAGTGCTTGATCTGATATGTGAGGGGTACAGATTTACTCCCAAGTTGTAGGCTGTATGTTCACCTCACAGATTGTTTCTTTTGCTGAGAAGAAACTTTTTAGTTTGAATCCATCCCATTTATTGATTCTTGATTTTATTTCTTGCGCAAACTCTAGATAGGGCAGAGGGGTTAGAGGGGAAGGGAGGGGGCATGGGTTATAAATGATGGTGGAATGTGATGATCATTATTATCCAAAGTACATGTAGGAAGACACGAATTGGTGTGAATATACTTTGTATACAACCAAAGATATGAAAAATTGTGTTCTATATGTGTAATAAGAATTGTAATGCGTTCTGCTGTCATATGTAAATAAAAAATTTTAAAAAACAAAAAAAGTATATGGTAAAACTGGAAACAACAACAACCATAAAAACCCCCAAATTAATATAATATCTTACACATAGTAGGCATGGCCACTAAATGTCTTAATCAATTCAAAGTTTTCTTGAATTGGGAGTTTGTGTAGGAAAATATAGTATGCACAAAAAAGTATTGAAAGAACATTTCCTATAAATGAGTTAAAATAAAGACAAAGTGAGATTCTTCATAATGTTCATTCTTTTTGACTTCAATGGTTATAAATTCAATCTCTAGTTAAATATTTTCTTCTTCTTCTTTATGTTTAGGACTATCGTGCTGTCATTGAAAAACTTCCAGAGGATGACAAACCTAGTTTCTTTGGTCTTCCTGCCAATATTGCTCGTTCATCTCAGCGCATGATCAGTTCTCAGGTAACTTAAGAAAGTATCTACCTTTTAGAAAAATATGACTTTGGAGACTGAATGAAACTAGTTTAAGTTTCATTACTACAAAGCTCATAAGCTTTTATTTAAAACTTTTATATCATTGAATATAACAGATTCCAATTTTACTTTAAATAAATTTTAAAGGAACCAAATTTTTTTTCTTAATGTTTACAAAAATTAATAATACAACATCAAATACTGTCATTTTTATTAAAAATATTTTTTGTATTCTTTTGATGTATTTTATGATTACTTTAAATGTAGCATGATTGAATTAATTAATATTGACAATGATTGAATTTAACTAAATTTGATATTTTCATAATAGGTATCAGATACAGATATATAATTTGCAATTGTGTTAGCTTATAAATGATACATTTATTTCTTATTAATTTACTCATGATCGAACATTATGCATATTTGGAATTTGAATTTTTAAATCACTGAAGCAGAAAAATATTTGCTCTGAAAGATGTATATTCCTGGTCCATCTTAATTAAGAAGATCTAACACTTATTAACCTCCCACTATGTGCCCGAAACTGTTCTAAATGCTTTATACATATGAACTTTAATATTAATACTTTCCCCTTTTAACAGATGAGGAAACTGATACAGATACACACAGAATTATATATTGCAACTTGTCCAAATCATTAAAAACAGAGGTAGTACCAGAATTTAAACTCAGACTGTCTGAGTGATGAGGTGGTTCTCATCACTCTTTACATACAGCTACTTTTCAGGCATAAATGTATTGCTAAGTAATGTGCACCATTTCAGGGGCATGAAATTTTAAACCATTACATAAGGTTCAATGTGTAATTAGTGCATAGAAAACTCATTTGGCCCTTACCTATTTCTTTGATTATTTATGGGCATTTTAGTTAGTTTTTATTTTCCTATTTAAATCTACAGTTTTGTATTTTATTGCTATTTTAGCCAACATTTATAAAACTCATTATGTTTCTTCTCTTGTTTTATTGTTAACTATCTTGCCTGTATTGAAAATTTAAAATGGTCATATCATTATAAAAAAATTATTAGCACATTATTTATAAAAGCAAGTATAAATGTTCCCAGGAACAAATAACCTCTTCATCTGTACCAATTGACAATATTCTCCAGTTCCTTTTCCCTTTCTTTTAACAGTGTCCAATCAAATAGTCTATAAGATAATGTAAAGTTCTGTATGGACTTTACATTTTTATGTATTTTATTTATTTTTATGCAGTGCTGAGGATTAAATTGAGTGCCTCACATGTGCTAGGCAAGCAAGTGCTCTACCACTAAGCTAAAACCCCAGTCCAGACCTTACATACTTACCATAGATGGTTAAATTTGTCATTTCTCTCCATGCTTTTTAGCTTACCTGAAATAATCATTTTTCAGTATTTATACTGATAATATATATGGATTTTTAAAAATATGTGTGAGTGTACATACACATACTGGCTGTTCACAAATATTCTCTTGATATAAAGTAAACTTGAAAGCACTTCATTTAAAAATACATAGTGCAGCTTCCAGCAGCTCTGGAGGCTAAGGCAGGAGGATTGCAAGTTCAAAGCTGGCCTCAGCAAAAGTGAGGCGCTCAGCAAAAGTGAGGCGCTAAGCAACTCAGTGAGATCCTGTCTCTAAATAAAATACAGAATAGGGCTGGGATGTGGCTCAGTGGTTGAATGCCCCTGAGTTCAATGCTTGGTACCCGCCAACCAACAAACAACAAACAAAAACATAGCTAAACCAAATTTATTTTTCTCTGGTTTATTTTAGTGTTTAAAATGAAGTTATTTCTATTGTTTCCCAATGTGTGTATATGCACATATATTTTATGTATACATAAAATTTTACATAGTACTTAAACAGAAAAGATTAAAATAATTAAAAGATCATTAAAAGAATAAGAAGTATTTTACAGAACCCCCCAAATAGTTTACTTATGGAACCTTATTAACAGATCCAAAAACCTTTTTTAAGCTGGCTTCTACAGTTCTAATCTAAGGATAATTCAGTTTCTGGGGGAACTGGACTTAGCATGGCTTGAATTGGATATCTAATGAAAGAGATATGGTAACAATAGATACAGCTTTAGAGACTTCAGGGAAGTATACAGGAATAAAAATGTAGAATTCCCAGCATTTTCACTTAATGGGAGGTCAAACACTCACTTACATACACAGCTTCTTTTGCTCTTGGGCCATGTGTGGCTACAAAAGCCAAGGGTATGAGGCTCTTGGTATTATGAGAAACCGTATTCTTTGTTTCCTGCTAATCTTTTCTTTCATTTTAGTAATATAGGTCCCATGTTGGCATACAAATGTCAATATATCCCTAGTCTAAATTGAGTCCCAAACATCAGAGGTTTCATAGCAAATTAGGCAGATAAAAGCTTCTTTACTTTTGTATTTCTCTAATTGCTAGAAATGATGAACATTTTTTATATATTTGTTGATTGATTGTATATCATCTTCTGAGAAGTGTCTGTTCAGATCCTTGGCCAATTTATTGACTGGGTTATTTGGTTTTTTTTGGTGCTCAGCTTTTTGAGTTCTTCATATACCCTAGAGATTAGTACTCTATCTGATGTGTGAGAGGTAAAGATTTGCTCCCAAGATGTAGGCTCTCTATTTACCTTGCAGATTGTTTCTTTTGCTGAGAAGAAACTTTTTGAGTCCATCCTATTTATTTATTTATTTTAATTTTTTTTACTTTTGTCAAATTTTATTAACTTTGAAGGTAGTGTTTTAATTTTTTAAATAAATTATTAATTTTTAAGCAAATCTTTATGTATGAATAAGATGTTGGGGATGGCTTAAAATAAGACAATACTTAATGACCTAATAAATGTGTTTGGGGGTTTTATTTTTTTAAATGTATGCATTTCTTTTTTTATTAAAATTTTAAGTTGCTATTTATAACAACAGAATGTCTTACAATTCATACTACACTTATACAGCACAATTTTTTTTTATTGGTTGTTCAAAACATTACAAAGCTCTCTTGTTTTATTTCTTGAGCCAAAGGAGTCTTATTGAGGAAGTTGGGGCCTAATCCCACATGATGGAGATTAGGGCCTACTTTTTCTTCTATTAGACACAGGTCTATTATTGTATTCCTGAGTCCTTGATCCATTTTGAGCTGAGTTTTGTGCATGGTGAGAGATAGGGGTTTAATTTCATTTTGTTGCATAAGGATTTCCAGTTCTGATGACACGAATTGGTGTGAATATACTTTGTATACAACCAGAGATATGAAAAATTGAGCTCTATATGAATAATAAAAATTGTAATGCATTCTGCTGTCATATATAAATCAAAAAAATTCATTTAAAAAAGTTCTGATAAAAGGAGCCCCAGATAGTAAGTAGCCTTGCCCATCAGGTGAGGATACAGCCAGAAGGAGTCATCTATGAACCAGGAAAAAAGCCATTACCAGACATAAATCTACTCATATTATCTTAGACTTCCCAGACTCTTCAACCATGAGAAATAAACAAATATTGTTTACAAGCAAAAAAAAAAAAACTTTCTTTACTTAACTGAACACTTTAGTATCTAAGCACATAATATTATGAGAAGATAAACTCTAATGTTATTTTCCCCAACAATCCAGTATATATTTTTACTTTTTGCTCACTCTAGTTTACCAGATAATTCTCTAAAATTTATTTTACTGTGCTTTAATCTCAACTATTTTGTCTTGCCTTGATATTGAAATTTTTATTAATATTTGTTAGATGAGAAGAAGATAATGTAGTCTTAAAACTTTTCTGGTAATACATACTTTAATACATGTTTTAACTATAGGTCTGTTTCACTACTTTTTAAAGGTTCTTAATTATTATTTTCATACATAGGATGGTTTTCACAGTACAATTATTAAAACCTCTTATTTTTGTAATTACCAATATGTATACATATTTGAACTAAGAAATGTCTATGTTTAGAGCATATAATTAGAAGTTTTTTTTATTAGAAGCCACATTTATTATGTTTGCCTTTATTTGAAAGTGAATATTCAGATATTAAGAAGTCTGACTTGACATCAAATCTGTCATCTGCTTTACACCGAATAAATGTTAAAATACACACTATTGATCATGTACAAGTTCAGAATTGTGACAACTGTTATTGAAGAAGGTACTCAAAATTTGGACTTTTAAAGATAAACACCGATGCAAAAGCTATGTAACCAATTTTGTACAAATATGAAGGCTCGAAATGAATCTAGTAAACCCATACAAGGCAGTAACCATAAGTGGCATTTATTACAAAGTATTTGTAATACTTAATGTATTTATGCTGTATGTCAACAGTTATCAGATACTTTTGTGTAACCTGTATCAATATATATATTCTCATTCATATCAAACAATGTAATATCCCTTTCCTTCTGCTTTTCCACTGAGTTATTAATGCTGTATAGATAGTGTTGCATTAATCAAAATGTAAGTGTCAAAAGAAAGAGATTTTGCACTTTCATTTTTGATGGTGGGGAGAAGAAGAGATCAGTTTAATATATTAAATTGACGTAACTATGGGATAGTATTTTTTGAGATGCCCATGGATTAACTGCTTGGATATTATGGTAAGAATTTTTACTAAATAAACAGAGAATTCAGATATAGATTTGATAATGGATTTGGCAAACAGAAAATCCTATCTGGAGAGGAAGCCATGGGAGTCAGAGATTGTTAGAAAACATTGATAAAGCAGAAAAAGATGCTCCCAAAGCAGAATCCCAGTAAATACCTATATTTAACATATATTTGGAGATGGGGTGATACTTCAAAGAATTGTAGCAAGACTGATGTGTGATCAGAAAATAAGACAACTAGAAGATCTTTAAAGGCAGTGGGAATGTGTGGTGCCATTTGGAGTATGGGGGAGGAGGGCTAAGTGATAATGTGATTAGTACAGTTAATTGTCATTTGGTGGAGTCTTTACATTTTTCTATTTATAGAACCATATCATCTGCAAA